AGTCACCATCATGCTTCCAGGCTCTAGTTCCTGACATTAAAAATAAAAGTAAAAACGCCCGGGCTTTAGCTGGTGCCCAGGCTCTGGAACTTTTCCCGTAAACTTTTGACAAGGTTGATCTCCGAGGCCTTCCCCGAGCTCCGGAGGGCCGGCCTGGAGCCGTTTGGGTCCTCTGGGGGGCCGTCGTCCCGGGGGGGCTCCTGGAGGCTCTGCTCCTGGCGGACGGTCAGGGAGCCCAGCATGTGGTCCAGGGAGCTCCACCTGCACAGCAGGGGGTGCGTGAGGTGCCGGGCCTCGCCCCCGGGGCGCCTTCCCGTCCGCGGCCCTTCCGGCTGCGCCCCCCAGCCGTCGGCGGGGGGGCCGTTGAGCTCCACGGAGCTGCTGGACCTGTGAGGGCTCCAGTCCTCCGGCCCGCCGGGGGCGGCTGTGGGGGGGGCGGGGGGCCGGCGCGTAGCGGGAGCGCAGCTCCTGGACGTGGGGCCAGAGGAAGGACTCTGTCTGGGGGCTCTGCGGGCTGCCCGCCGTCCCCACGGAGCCGGCCTCAGAGCTGGGGGGCTGGACTGGACTTGGAGACTGAACTTCATGGATGACCGCCTGGTCCCCGAGACTGAAGGGCAGCCTGAGATGACCTGAACAGATCAGCAAACACAGACAAAAGAAAGACTTTTAGTCTCCATTAACGGGTTAAAGGGAGAGCTTGCGTTAAACGGAATCATTGTGGGAGTCATCTGGACCGTATCTACCCCTTCTCCTGGTCTTCTCCTCCTGACCAGCGGGCCCCTTCCTGGGCCCGTCCTGGCCGGCTGGCGGCCGGCTCCTTTGCCAGACCAGAGGTCTGTTGTTCTTGATGCGCTGGCTGTACTGGCGGGCCAGCTGGAACACCTTGTTTTTCATCCTGCCCACGTCCTGCAGGATCTGCTCCTCTTCCGCGCTGGTCTGGAAGCTGATGACCTTCGGGAGGTGGCTGGGATGAAAACGCTCATTCTCTGGAAACGCGGAGTTCCTGCATGGCGTGGCATCTGGAGCTAGCCTCCCCTCCTCTGCCGACAGGCTGGAGGTTGTTGAAGACATGGGGGAGGAATCGAAGGCGGGGCTCATATCAGAGTCCTCTGAAACTTCGAGCGGCTGCTGGCTGGGTGTAACATCGGACATTTCGGAGCGGGCGTCCGGTTGAATTTCCCATTTTGAGCTGCTGTCCAGCTCCTCTGCTGGTTCCTGGGCCTCCTGGTTCTCCTCCTCCGTCTCCATGACTTGCCAAACCTCCAGCATGTCGGACGCCGGCCTGAACTCCTCGGGCGTGGCGTCGGTGGCGTTCTGAGGTCTGGCCGGGTCCTCAAATGCTCCCCGTGGGTCGCCGGCTTTGGAGCCTTCGGTGCTCTGAGTCCTTTCCAGTCCAGGGAGGTCAAACACAGACCAGGACGTGGGCCTGTTCCGGGAGGGGCTTTTCCTGTGGGCGGGGCCGGCCTTCTCCGGGGGGGCGCTGCTGAGCTGCCGGCTCAGGTGCCTCACCAGGCCGGCGGGGATGTAGGACAGGCTTTCCCGCCGCTTGATGCTGAAGTTGGCGTCCTGGTGCTCGGCGTGCTCGTAGTAGCGTCTGATCTTGTGGATGAGGAGGCGGTCTTGTTTGGAGAGGGTGGACCTGCGCTCCCCTTCGCTCAGAGCCGGCACCTCCTCGGCGGACTGGTCGGTCTCCGAGCTCTCCGCTGGCTCGGGGGAATAGGCGGCTGTGATTTGGGTCCGTTTCTCCGCGTCTATGCAGGCTGGGGGGCTTTGGAAGACGCCGCTGTCGGCGGTGAGGGGGCCCAGGTCCTCAGAGAACAGGCTGCTCCTCCTGGACAGGCTGCCGATGGGGTGCTCGGCTATCAGGCCGGCCTGGTCCAGCACGGAGGGCGGCAGGAGGTCCGCATTTCCTGAAAGAACCTCCATGTCCTCCTCAGAGAGCTCCCCATTTGTCAGCCCGCTCATGTCTCTCCCGTGGAGGCCGGAGGAGTCACTCCCCCCCTCTTCTTCCTCAGCAGTTTCTCTGGAAGTGTCCGGAGTTTCTGGGGTGTCCTCCTCTGGTTCGGAGGGGGCCGCAGGAGGTTCTGTGCACTGGGGGGGTTCTACTTCCAGCGGGTCGCTCCTCTCCACTGGAAGGCCGAGCTCCTCCATGCCGACCTAAAACACGACGAGAGGGTTTGCAAAGTGGGACGTAATGAGTAAAAACACAGTGCAGCAACAGGCACTCTCCATCCCTCATTAGCTTAATGGCGCCTTTCAAAGTCATCTCGGCCGTTTAGGCTGAAGTCACCACAATTTATGCTGCACGCGTTTTATCTTATTAGCCCCACTTGAGTTTTATTACAGCTCCCCGTTTGGTTGTGTATTATAAGTGTGGTCCAAACTGCACAGGCCTCACTCTGCTGTTTATCTAAATGTCTTGCTCGGGAATTGCCCGATAATAAAAATAAAATAAAAGTAGAGCTCCGAGCTGTGTGGCGGAGATAAGATTTGGGGGCATAACGGCCCGCTCTCTGCTCAGGAGCTCAAATGTTGCCTCTCTCAGTGGAAGCGCAGGAAAACGCTGTATGTGGCAATTTCAATTTCCAGGACTATAAATACACAGCCGGCCGGCATGATTCAAATTCACCACAGACAAATGCTCCTGGCAAAGGGCGCCTATTTGCTAGGAATCTAATTTTTAAGCCTGGTGTGGAATTGAATCAGCAAGCTCTCATTCACCGAGAGATAACGGCGGCAGGATCTCACTCCAATTAGACGTCCTCTCCCAAATGGGCTCAGCAACAATAGGGAGGGAAGCTGGGTATTCTTTAACGGAGCAAATGCGTGTCACACATGGCCTCAGAAAGCACTGTGAAAAGCCCGCTAAAAGGAGGTCTGTATTCATGTGATCAGGCTTTATAATGTACCCGCTCGCTGAGAGTTTCCTCCACAACGACATCCCGGTTGCTTTCCTCCCGCCTACAAATTTCTGCCCTGTCTGTTGGTGCACAATTCAGCTCAACAGCTTCTCTGTTTTGATCATCCTAAAAGGGGAAAAACACACCGTCACACATGGCTTTTTTCAAGTCATATCATCTAAGCAAACACTAGAAAGTATGCAGCTGTGGTTTACAATGAATGGATGATGCAATATGAAATTAAAATATTCCTTTTTAAATGATGCATATTTATTCATATTCAGAGAGAGTACTATTAAAACAATTAACCCAGACAAAAGCGTTCCATTTAGGAGAATGCAGAGGTGGACTGAGGGGGTGGGTATATTAGAAAATATGATTATCAAAGAGCAAAGGTCCTGCTATCATAATGATATTTAATTAGATGGCTACATTAACCTTTGAAGTCAAACATTTAGTGGAGCAAGTCCAGACGGGGGATCTCATGCAAACGCAGGCACGGCCTCATCAACATCAGCTATGTCCCCAGACCCACAGCCAAACCCAGCACAGTGCAACACCGATGATGCTCAAACACAGTCGGCACGGCGGGAGCCCCGGAGCAGAGACATGCACAAGGCCTGGGCCCCATTACAAAAAGTTCACTGTTAGCGGTGTGAGAAACTCCTCCCATGCACTTCAGGGGCACCGACTCAATGTTAGGGAGACGTTCAGAGTGCAAATGGTAGCAGGTGTTAGTTGGTTCCGTGCAGAAAGCCGTTAAAAAATAAAATAAGAGGAGATCCCGTGCGGGGGGGATGAGTGGGGCTTGGGTGTTAGTGAGCCGGTGGGATAGAGCAGGAAATGAGAGACCCATAGGTGGCTGAAACCCTCACCGTTGTGAAGTGAGTGGAAAGCAAAGCCCTGGCTCTATAGTGCCAGCAGGAGATGGCAGCCAGCACTGAGCTGGCAAAGTCGGCTACCTGGTCGTCTCCCATCAGTATATCCTCCTTGTAACTCTCCCCCTCCTCCTCATCCTCCTCTTGTGCCTTCTCCAGCCCCCCTTCACTGGGAGGAGAACCCAGTTTAGGGGCATTGTCAGTAGAACTTAGCTGCTCCAGGGAGTCCCTTCGGGGAATTAGATCCTCCACACAAGGCCTCTGGGCCTGGGGCTCGCCCAGGATGGAGGTCAGTGCACTGACACTAGTGGCTGGCTGGAGGGAGCACCTGTCCCCCAGCAGGGCACCCTCACTGTCTGCGTGCTGTAGCGTGAAGTCATAGACATGTGGGTTGTTATTGCAATGCCAGTGCTGCAGCCATGTTGTGACTGCAAGGCTGTAAATGAAATGA